CTAGATGAAACACAACATTGAACAGATGAGTTGGAAAATGATAATAGGTCTTCCTTCATCTTTTCAGAAGCATTATATTGTGGTGGATTCATTCTATCCTCGAAGAATAGAAGAAAACCTGGTTTAACCTGTCAGATTGTTTGTGTTTAATTTAATTAGATTTATGTGACAAGACGGAGTGATTATTAAGAATTTTATAGAAATGAAGTAAACGGTAGTATTTTCTTCTTTTATATAAATCAGGTAACTTAAGCTTTTACAACAGCAAAGACACAGAACCATCAAACCTTTTAGGAATAATTCTGGCGGCTAATTTAATTACAGAATCAATACGCAAATTATGGTGGAGAAATTTAGTATCGGAAACAATTGAGCAGTAGTCTAGTTTACTCCAAATGCAAGCCTTGAATATTGATAGACGAATAAGAGAAGGTGCTTAAAACACCGATGTAAAGCGTCTAATCTCCTACGACACGCAAGAACAAGATCGTCAATATAATCACCCCAATGTAAATTAGAAGACAAACGAAGGTCAAGAAGTATAATTGATGATTCTTTCTTAATTAATGAGCCGTCTATCGTGACGGAATACGTTTAGTTTTTGGGGTCTGTGCGAAAAAAGTAATCATGAACATTTACTATAATTTAGCGACATAAAGTGTGACTGACATCATACATTTATACGACCAATATTTTCCTGACAGACTGACACTGAATACAGATCAGAAACGGGACTTAACAAAGAACAGCCATTTGCAAATAAGGCGGATGATGCAGGTGGTACAATAATGGCTCTATACTCTAATATATAATATACTCTACCTTAAATAATGCTTGAAACAAAAGCACGACTATTGTTGTTAAACTATTGTGTGAAACTATGAAAAGAAAATTTCACTTTCTTACAAAGTCTATTGTGAAATAAGAAGGAGAAATGAAGCAGAAGTCGAAATATGCGACAAGGTATGTGTTTTCTGTTTTGGCCAAGAAACAGTTTAACTCTAATGTGTTTAGTTCGAATGAAAAAGACTCTTATTGGTTTGTCCACTTCTGTTTTCCTTTCAAATAACTTGAAATGTGTTACTGGTTAGACAAGTTTGAAAGTATCATGAAGAAAGTTCTCAGAGGCAGAATGAAGGAACAAAAGCTGCTTTAAATAGAATTTCTTTCGTTTCTATTCTTAACGGACTGCACTTGTGAAAGCAAAACGAGGGATTCAGAGAGGATGTTATTTTCACACACCAAAATACACAAACTGATTTTTCTGACGAACTGATTTTTCGGTCTTTCAAAAGACATTTATATTGCTTGGATCATAACGTCAGTGATACTAGTTTCGCACTCCTAAAGTGAGTTTTGTCTGACACAAAAGAGCTTCAGTAAAGTACACAAAGTAGTGGTACTTATTGTGACATAGTTTTCGACACTTTGCAAAGGTGTCTCTACAATGTCGAATGGTTCACTTTGCATACAATTATCTGCTGTGCAAGATAATCTTGTAGAATTTTGAGGGCAACTCTGTTTGATTCCTTGAAAGAATAGTTACATACTCAAAGAAAATTTCGTTAGGATATGGAGAGTCGGACACATTTCTAACTTCTGAGTCAAGATAGAGATAGATGTACAAGAGTTCTGCTTCATTTCTCCTTCTTATTTCACAATAGACTTGGTAAGGAAGTGAAATTTTCTTTTCATAGTTTCACAATAGTTTAATAATAATAGTCGTGCTTTTGTTTCAAGCATTATTTAAGGTAGAGTATATTAGCTTTGCATTTTTCATCTCCCATCTGTTCCCATGAGCCAATCTCTCACTATGTGTGAGATGGGTTTTCTTCTATTCTTCGAGGAAAGAATTAATCCACCACAATATAATGCTTCTGAAAAGATGAAGGAAGACCTATTATCATTTTCCAACTCGTCTGTTCAATGTTGTGTTTCATCTAGAACGTGAATACAAATTCTAGATATGGTTTTCGTATTTTGCAGAAATACTTTCCGCTCTATGTTCGAAGTGTATATTGTAACAGTCATTTTCAGAAGGCGTCAATGCTCATTACATACATATGTTTCGTTTCAACTAGAGATTGTACATCATTGATTGGGGCATTTATTTTAAATGAGTAACAAAGGGCAATGCCTTTGAAATGATTCAGCTGATGGTGATATGAAATATAGTTTACCAGGTATCTCTGTTCAAGTAACATTATGTTGTTAGCATGGCTATAACTGTTGGATCATATATCCATAAGGTTTTGTCCAGTTAGCACGATTCGTCTTTTAATCTACGAAAAGTTCTTCGAATATTAAAATTACTACTGACAGAATCATACTGAGATGCTCGTAAAAGAGAATTAATGATTGACAAGATATAAAATAATCTTAGTTGTGCTGTTAGATCAGCAGGTGATGTGAAGTCGTATAAGATACCATCTTGTAATGCACAGAGATGTTTGTCAGGATCTCTCTGAGATTTTTTAATCTATTGTGAACACTTAAATTATGTGATTGTTCACGTCCCAATTGCTTGGATGAGTGTTTAATCTTCTAATAAATTTTGTAACATTGACAAAAAGATTATCATTGAGAGTCAAAATCATTTTCCAAAATTGCTGTTTATAAATACTTCTAAATACATATCATGAGATAAACTCAAAACAAGACAGAAAAATATGCATTTTTCAGCTTTATCTAGGGTCCAGCTTTTGACTGAAATTTAAGATCATTCAACGATAGGAAGAGGCAACTGTTAAGAACAATTTCTCTCATTTCTCAAAGTGTGAACGGTGCATCAGAAAAAGCGGTCTCACAACGGAAAAAATATGTTTTCGACTTGCCAGTATCAGAACTTCCAAACAATAATGTTAATAGACACAATATCAGCGATGTCAACGATATATAGTCAAGTTAATTTATTCACAGTTCTTTTCTAAACTTCATTTTCACACAGGCACAGTTAATCTTCTAAGTTTGTTAATGGTCGGCGATTAATCCACATAGCGAGGCCAGTTAGCAAAGCAATCATGCATGTAAATTCAGCAATATAAAATCCAACATAATCAATTATGATACCGAACGGTGGTACGAGTGATTGTATACTACGAACTGCTGGTAAAGCAAATAGTAACGCTCCAATTAAACCCAATGTTCCCATGTGCGGGGCTTGAGTTGATTGAATAATTCTTCTTGTTAATATGATCATCATTACTGCGACGATAACAAACATTAATGTTGTAAATAACGCAAATACCTTAACAGATATTGCACGTGTTAATACTAATTGTTTTTCTGCATAATATCTTGTAGACTTATCCGTGCTTATGATTCTTATGCTCATATTATCAACATTACATGTACAATTAAAAGACACTGGTAGCTGTGTGATATCTTCTTGTATTTCGAATCCTAGAAGTATAATGGTCTGATCGAATGGATCTAAATAGAAATAGACATCGAATAACAAATAATAAATTTAAGCTTTTCTCAAAATACTATACACTTTATTTCTTCATAATACACTGCTTCGTATACGGAATCAATTTTAAGAATTTGTTTTCCCTTTGTTATTGTAAATGTATTTTCATTACTTGTAAATTTGTCAATTAATGTTACTGAGAGTAGTGGTGTTTCATTTTTTGCAAGTAATTCTAACGGGAAAATCAGCTGAATTCGTCCAAATAAATCTCCACTTTCTTGATCATATCTCTGCACATTCAAAGAAATAGTTATTGTGTTTATTGATGGCGACTTATCACAGCCACATATATCGGTTAGAATCAGTGTTAGAAGTAAGATATATAACATTTTTTCTTTTATATACTCAATGTGCACCATTCTTATAACGTTAATTTAGATGACAAGAGTGAAAGTCGGTAGGCTCATTATTTTCCATTACGCGCGTTGTTCTTTTTTCTACTTACAAGAACTTCTTTCTCGCTTTTAAGCTATTCTGTGGTTCTCAGAAGCTAGTGGAGCTTATAATTAACTGACGCTTGAATGGTTCGAGTATATTATCAGGAGACATGATCCTGACGCCAAAAGCGGTATTAGCCACTGATTACAATACCACGACTACAGTAGTTAGTAACACACTGTTCGATGTTTTTAGGGAATTAGGCTAATGGAGAAGATTTTACAACATTTTCAGATAATTCATTCCATTCTCATATAGTCTTGACTAAAAAGCTCTCACCGAACACAGATATTCTGAATGTTGAAACATTAAGATACATACAGTTTAGCCGAGGAGAATGACGTTGAAAGAATAGCTCTGAAGACCAAATCACGGTAATTTACTGCTGTCTTTCAGCGTTTTCTAAAAGTATTTAAATCGAGTCACTTTTTCCACGGGCGATACGTTTTTAAAGTTCAGTTTACAAACTAGCCGAGAAGAGGTAACAGATTACATCCCTTGACTCCAGAGCATCATTTTCTATATCTTCATCAGACTTTTCATAAGAGAGTAAACTGAAACCATCTTATTGAACAAGTCTTTAGGATCAACGTGTTCATTAAGTCTACGAAGACCTTGGTGCTCTCTTTCTAACGAACTGTTTTCACAATTACTGCGTTTAGCCAGATGAACTATGTTTGATTGGAGATACTTTCGAATTTTATCTTTCGTTTGAAAGGACTGTGTAGTTAGTGGGGCCGGTTTTCGCTGAAAACTGCGCCAGTTTCTTTTTTAGAACTTGTGTAGAGTTACAGGTATAAGGAATTTTGATGTAGATTATTTCTTTTTTTAAGCTTGATCAGAGGTGTACTATTCATCTCTTTGTTTCACTTTTACCATTTCGACGCCATTTTGTAAGGTCTATCCCAATTCGTGTGTCAACAAACCATATGTATATTTCTCCTGTTTTCCAATTACCAAAAATATAAAACAGTACGGATAAATGTGTTTCGTTCTTTCTTCTTGTTATGTATTTAATGTACGGTTAGGGAAACATCGTGTTAAACAACTCTTCAACTATGTAATGCTTCGGCGCATTAGAAGAAAAGTTGTTAGGTATATTCACTTCTGAATAAAAATAGCTTAAACCAATGTGTTAAACGTCATAAACCGTTTCGATGACTTGTTTCATTCATATATTCTTCTTTTCGTCTTTTTGTTTGAGTACGGATGAGGTTGAAAGACGAAAGACATGTTTGGTGTCATCTGAGTAATTTCGTCGATTTTGCTGAGATGGGACCTTTGTTATATTGGATGTTCGATGAAACAGTGCTGTAGAAAGCTCAAGTGCATCTTGATTTCCTCAGGAATCTTTTCTGTACATGATGAGGGTATTACAAAAAAGTATCACCCGAATTCGAAGACTAAGGATGTGCGGTAATCGGTAATTTACCGTCGGCACGGTAAACGTTTTTTATTCCGTTCGAATTATGATCATTGTTAATTGTGATCTGAACGCTAATCGTATTTTTACTCTAATGAAAATAGACTTATGAAATAGACCCTTAGAAAATAGACCTTATGATAGGTGTTTTGATATAAGTTCGTCGATATTGTGCTTTTATGTGAGAGAGGAATACTAGGGTATCAATACTAGTATCAAATAGAGAAAGGATAAGTAGTATAGAAAGCATAAAATTCTTTCGAATCGTTGTTCATGACTGAGATTATTTTCACTTGCTTTTCTAACGAAAATTTAGAAAACACGGACATTAGAGCCGTTCATATCAAGGTGATAAAGGTAATTTTTAGGACATATGTCATAAAGTGTTTAAACGATTGTATATAGAACAGTAATTACTATCTTGCTGTGCGAAACTTCTTACTATTTCATGATTCATATTACCCGTATATACGTCATTAGAGCGTTTCATAGTACGATAATAATATGTTTATAAGAGTTGTTGCTGGGTATTTTGATATGCTCTTGTGGCGCTTTACAAGCACTACCGAATAATTCGTAAAGGATTCTGTACGTCATTAAAAAGTTTTACAGAAAATATAATGAGTCACACTATCGAAAATATCAGTGAAGTTTTATCAGAGTTTTATGGCTTGATTTCCAACTCAACTGAACTATCAATATTCACCAACTGTTTATTTTTGTCTAAATGTTCTAAAGATATTGTCATTCAAAACTCAATTTTTTAAAGCTAAAATGTAGATATTCTTGATCAGCTCGTCGAGCTCTATCAAATGGTTTATGAATACGGCAAAACTAAAATAGTGCTAGAACTTTGAATTAGCGGCGTCTTATAAAATTGCTGATTTCTTTCTTTTCAAATAAATAGCTTATTTCATTCGTTCAAATTTCTTACCGGTTTGTGACATTGTACCATTAAACTTTCGAGGTTGCGGTGTAGAAATTGATGTTCCAGTGAAAAGAAATGTTGCGGAGTTATTAGAACTACCAAACCCTGGCGTGGAATTGACGCCGCAACCAAACAGATTTGTTCCTTGGAGAGAGAGCAGTTGAAAATCGAATTAAATTGTAGAGAAAGTACAAAACTGGACAGAGCATGATTAATACTTTAATCAAATTTATTTTATTGTGACATTTCGACAAGTTCTCTTGCCATCATCAGACAATAAAGATTGTTACAAGTGTCAAAAGAAAGAAAGAAGTATATATATATAGTAGTAAACGTAAAAACAGGAATTTTCTACATTATTCCACAATTTAACAGAAAAGATAAAAAGAAGCTTCTTTTTTGTTCGAAGAACATTGTTTTAACCAAAGACTTTCAATTTGTGCTTAACTTCATTCAATGCTTTTCCTTGAGAGAGATGTGTGAGAAGACTTTCTTTTATGACTCTTCTTTTCCAAAGAGATTCCAGCGCTAAAACTTCACAATTGCTGAGGTCCATAGAATGTTCGTTTTCGTACAATGTTGAGCAGTTTGAGAAGTAGCTTTATCTTTACGAATATCAGCTTTATGCTCCGCCATTCTAGTAGCTTTTTCTCGATCTGTTTCTCCAATATACTTTTTCTTTTTCGACCGAGAAGCGGTTCTATCTACGCGTGTGTACAACGGATGAGAGCACACTTCCCAGGTCGAAGTATCATACGTATCGTTATCGTCAATGTAATATGATCAACAAAACGAAACACAACGAGTTGAGGGTATCTCAGTTAGTCACAGGAATACAATAGCGAACAAGGACTTCATATCAACACTCGATATAATTATATTATTACGATTAATGGGTAATAATACACAGAAAACACGATATTAGCAGCGTTTTCTAAAAACTTCATTCCTACATGTCTTCAAGAATTTCAGATTCGCTTCAAGTTTACGTACAAGTGTATACATCTTCACCGCTGTTGTTATTGTGTTTTCTATTTCAATATAATTGTCTATCTGCTTATTTTGCTTCTCATCCTACTCAACATTTCGACGATACTGTATTCGATCAAGATAATGCTATATTAATTGACTTAAACACTCATCCAAGCAATTGGGACATGAACAATCACATAATTTAAGTGTTCACAATAGATTAAAAAATCTCAGAGAGATCCTGACAAACATCTCTGTGCATTACAAGATGGTATCTTATACGACTTCACATCACCTGCTGATCTAACAGCACAACTAAGATTATTTTATATCTTGTCAATCATTAATTCTCTTTTACGAGCATCTCAGTATGATTCTGTCAGTAGTAATTTTAATATTCGAAGAACTTTTCGTAGATTAAAAGACGAATCGTGCTAACTGTATTAAATACTACGCCGCTTAGTCCCACAGTGGATTGCATAATTGTTCGGGATCTTTATTTTTCGTTTTTCTCCTCGACCATGGAATGTTTGTCGATTCGAATTCAAATCTTAAACTCATTGTGAAACTATGAAGAGCTGCTTTTGTTGCAGCATAAACAGCACAGTATGGTGTTGGTATGAATGCCAACCCAGTTGTTACATTAATAACCGCGCATTGTTTCTGTTGCTTTAAAAAATATGGTATCAGTAATGATGACAAATGGATTGGTGCAGAAAGATTCACATGAATTTCATTTTCTCGTTCATACCATTCTGCTGTACCCTCATTTAGAATTGTTTCTTTACGCTGAGTTGCAGCATTATTTACTAAAACATTTATAGACGGAAATTCCTTCACTACCCATTCACACAACCTATGACGATATTCTGTACTGGCCAGATCTCCAGCGTGATAATATATTTTCCCATTGTTATTTATGGATAGTTTTTGTTTAACTTTCTTTAAGCGATCTTCACATCTACCAGTTATTATCACTATACTACCTGATTTTAAAAATCTTTCAGCCAAACAATGACCTATACCAGCACCACCACCTGTTATTAAGACCGTTGATGATTTTAAGTTTAACGGCTTTGAGTAAAAGGCGAGTGACACAGGAGCAGCGGAACAATTATCCATCGACCAATCAAAATCTTGAAAAAAGATCAAAATGATAACTATTTCGTAAGGAAAAATTCAGCAGACAGAAAACCCAAACACAAAAGTCATCAGTTTTGCTTGTACTGCTATGAGGATGA